GGGAGGGTAGAGGGACAGCGCAAGAGAGGAAGGCCCTCTAACAGGTGGATTGATTCAGTGACTGGGATACTTGGGATGGGCGTGTCAGAGACAGTGCGATTGGCACAGGACAGAGTGGAGTTTAGGGCTGTTGTACATAGAGTCGCTATGAGTCGCAAGCGACTCGAAGGCACATAACAACAACAACAACAAAGGCAGGCAATGGGCTTATCAATTTCATTGTTCTTTTCTAAAACTAGCTTTTCATTTTGTTGATTTTCCATTTTCAAATCCACTAGTTGCTGCTCTAATTATTCCTTTTCTTCTAACTGCTCTAGGTTTATACTGTTCTTAATAAAATTTTCCATGAGTAAAAGTTCTGCATGAGCACAATTACGTGTTCTGTGATTCCATTTCTTCTCAATATTAGCTATAATATCTAACAAACGATAAGATACAAAGAAAGTAAACTAAGGTGCTACTTGTTGGCAAGGATGGTAAAACCCCATCTCACATATTTTGGGCATATATGGAGGAACCAGTCCTCAGGGAGATATATCATGCTTGGCAAGGTGGAGGGTAAGTGCCAAGAGAGGAAAGCCCTTAACAAGATGTACTGACACAGAGACTGTAACTCGGGAGTCAAATTGTCTCAGGAAAGGCCAGTGTTCTGAGTCATTGTTCATAAGGGGTTGCTGTGAGTTTTGGTCTACTCAATGACATTTAACAACAATGGTGAAGGGTGAAACAATTGTTCTTCCCTTAGACATGCATTTACTACTATAAATTCCCCACTTAGTGCTGCTTTTTGCTATACCACACAAATTCTGATGTATGACATTCCATTTAGCTTAAAATATTCTGAAAAATTTAAAGAATTCTTTTTGGCTCATGAACTATTTAGAACTATGGTGTTTAATTTCCAAATATTTTGGGATTTTTCCATGTATCTTTCTGTTATTGACTTCCCACTTAATTCCACTGTTGTTTTCGAGCAGCATTCTATGATACCTATACTGTGACATTTGTTAAGTGTGTTATCTCGGTGAATTGCCCTGGATATTGTCTATTTTGGTGATTGTTACATATGGGCTTCAGAAGACTGTGTATTCTGCTCTTGTCACCTGAAATAATCTATAAATGCCAGTTCAATCTAGTTGATTGATGGTGCTGCTCAGTTCAACAATATCCTTCCTGATTTCTTGCCTGCTGGATTTATCAGCACTGAAGTCACCACCTGTAATAGTGGATTTGTCTGTTTTTCCTTACACCTCTATCAATTTCTGCCTCACACACAATGATTCTGTGCTGGTTGGTGCATACCTATTAAAAACTGTTATTTCGTCTGAGAGAATTGACCCCTTTTATCACAATGAAATGTCTCTTTGTGTACTCGTCTGATACCCTTGCTCAGAAGTTGGCTTCATCTGAAAGGAAAATATTTTTTTCCGTTTTCTTTTGATTATAGTTAACCTGGACTATCTTTCTCCCTTTACATGTCATCGGTGCCTTTATTTTAAAGTGGTTTTCTTT